CCCCACCCACCATCTCCCAAAGACCCAAATAGAATGGTTAGCTCCATCCCCAGACAAGAAAAGTCAGATAAGAAACGTTGTTATTTTTTACATTTAGGTAATAAAAGGCGACCCAAAAAGGATCCACTAAGCGACAGCTTATCAAAACATTTTCTACCATCTGGAACAAAGAGACAACGACGTTAGGCTTAGTGAGCTAAATATAACTATAACTATATAAATATAACTAACTGAAGTTTTATTTTAATATCTTCACGTTTTGGTCAGGTTTTTTTAAATCATGACCACTCAGATATTGGCCAAGTATATAGTCTACAGGCTATAGACAGTTCAAGCAGCTATTTTCTAAATGTAAATGCTTTCAAGTGTGGCTTCAGAAAGCTGTGGTTATCGAAAGGCCTTTTGAAGTTTATAAAAAGGCAAAACAAATTATTTAAAATAATATTTGAGTATTCTGTGTCCGATTAACGAGAATGTTTACAAAAAAGTTAGAAATAAACCATTTGTTACAGATTGCCAAACGTAAATATTATGAAGGAAACCTTGAAAATTGCCCTCGCTGGTTTGCCAGGAATTTTTCTCTTTTTTTTGTTGTTGTCGCAAGTGTTACTTTCCATTGCGGCATCACAGAATAGGAAGTTATACCAGAAGCGTAACTCTAGTCATTTCCCTTATTGTTTGACGTCCACGAAAATTTTTAACTCGCTCACGTCAGGCCATGCCATCCTGGCTAGTACAGCCGGAAGTTTTTATCAGGATTTGGTAGGTACAAAGTGCCGGTTGTACTAGCCAGGATGGCGTGATTGATGACGAATCGCTTGTAAAAACGCGGACAAATATTTGCTCGAGTTACGCTTCTGGTATAACTTCCTATTCTGTGGCGGCATCGTGGGCTCAGGATTGCGCAATTTAGCCACTGAGCTATAATATTACTGTAATATTATAACTCAGTGAATTTAGTTAAAACATTCTCACGATGATTTAACATTTAAAGGTGATCTACAGTGCGATCTGCACATGTGCACAAATGAGCCCACTTTTTATGATACAAACATGTTTTGAGTTCTTGAAAAGCCTGATTGTTGTTTCTTGATTATTTATTATACTCTAGAAGCTTGAAAATATAAATAGTTGTCGAATAAAGCTCAATATTTTGGACACAAAAATGTAAACAAATGCTTTGTTTACATACGGACTATAGATCACCTTTAACCAATTCCTATATTTTGAGAAGAAAGCGACACCGTTTGATTCAGCGTATAAAGAACTTGTACTTACGGATGTCAAGTGTATTACTTAACACCAGTATTCTAGCCATTTATGCCCTTTGAAAATCAAGCGAAATTGTATTGACAATTCGTCTATAATATTAACACATCTTCTGTTTGGCGAAATGGGCTTTCCGTTTTGAAAGTAACGGCGTTTCTTGTTTATCAGACACATTTCTATAAATACAACTGTAATCCCGACCCTTAGAAAATAGAATATGCGAACGCATGTTGTTTCACGGTCAAACGGAATCGGCTGTCCCGATAGCATCTGAATAAAAATTGAAAATTATGGAACTTACCCTACGCTCGTGTTCCAAGATCCGCCATGTAAAGTGTAGAGAAATGTATCTCACTAACGCCTCTGCGGAGGAGAGAGGAACTTACCGTATGCATAATTGCATATTACAAAACCAATATGGAATTATCGAAAAATTTGAGCCTTCTGCTCCAATGATCAGTGGTCTGAAAATTACTTTTTTTGAAGATTTGAAACAGGGGCGCCGGAGCCACGGTAGCCTGCTCACAGGCTCTATTATATAGAGCCTGCGACTTTTATTGATATTTTTTCAATACGCCCCCTTTGAGATAATTGAATATCCGGTAAATAGTAGCCAATCAAAGCAAGTTTTGTTAATTAGATTACCAGAGGTTATTAACAACAACAAACGGTTTCTCGCGCAATTTTACGCCTGTATCTTTCACTAGGATTCCAAGGTCTAAACTTTAATCTAAAATAATTCATGGTCGTTTTTTCCCTAAAGTGTTCTAATATTTAAAACATAGTCCCGTTTGTATATTGCTGTCTTGTTCGTACATTGCCGTTTTAAATGTAACTATACTACAGAGACGTAAAATTTTACTCTCTATTAGTTAATGTATTTTATATATTTATATCCAAAATATAACTGTAAGATTTAAGGAAACGCATTTAGGTTTTGAACAAACACTATTTATTAAAAGTGTCGAACAATAGAAGGCTAAAAAACAACATTAATCATTATTGCGTGAAGTCTGTCATTTGCTCAATAATACAATTAACTCAATAGACAATAGACAATTTGAAAACCCGTGGCCGTGGCATAGATTCTGCCGTGTTTAATAACTACATTTTTTTTTGTAAAAAGCTCTTGTTGTAATAATATATGTCACTATAGTTGAGACTCCCAAAAATAAAGTCTCAAAGAGAGAGCGGACTTCGGTCAAAAAACACGCAAACGACTATTGCAAAATTTCCAGGTGTAAATTCAAATTGGCCAGGTGTTCTAAGAACGACTTTCCTCGACGGCGTCTGTTTTAATAATTTGCCCTTTGTCTTGACTTATTCAAGACCAGATTGTTTAGGCAGAAAGCCTTGGGTTGACAGGGAAGTATTTGGGAGAAATGTTCGGAGGCATTTGACAATCAACTGCTTTATACTAGCTGATTCACTGCCTGTGTCTCAACGAACGTCTCGCTGGGCTAACCTTAAGTTGTTCAACGTTTGAAACCGCAAGTGATGCAAACGCGGTTAGATAAATTGTCAGCCTGAACTAGACTTATTTTACTCTCTCTGCAAAGATCAGCAAGGCATACGTCGAAGTTTTCCCTTGTTCTTCTTTGGAAAAGGTTTATTATTATAGCTGACGAAGACAAAGTATCGGTATATTAATACATGTAAACTTTTATCAAATCCCTTTGGAAGTACAGTTAATATTGCTAACCTTCGCTCATCCTTCAATGTTAATTTAAATTGAAAGGTTTCTCAAATACATTCAGTTACTTCTTCGAAGAGATAAACAAAGTCATGGTTTTATACGCCACTGATTGAATGCCAGCTTTAAAATTACATTGCGAAATGTCGTACGAGTTAAATATTTGCACGATATTAACTCATGGGGCACTTCTGACCAATGGGAATTTTGCGTACGCTCCGTACGCATAAATCGACTTTTTACTAATAAAGGTCGCAGGCCGTACCTCCAATGCAGCCTCTGCCTGACAACGGCCTGCGAGCAGGCTAGAGCCACGGGGGCATTGCCCTTTGTTGACGGGGGTAGCGGGGGCAGCTTTGCCCTTTGCTCATAGAGATTTAATTATTTTACCAGCTGAGCAGAGCGTCACTCGTGATTGTTGGCGTAAGCAAGTTCCCCCAGTGTGCGGTAATTTGAATGATTTCATCCACGCGTGCCTTCGGCACCGAATATTCAACATGCTGAATAATTAATTTCAGTCACGAATGGACATTTCCTCCAAGTGTTGCGCGCTCGAAAAGCTATCACCCTCATTGTAGATCGAATATTATAAGCTTGCGTAATAGTCTAATAGAGCATAAGACAAAACTAAAGCCTGGTTTCCATTAAATCATAATCATCGGCAATAGTCGCGGAACGCAGACATCGCTATCGCAAAATCGCAGTAATTCTATCTTTGCGACTTTGTCGTATAAAGAGTCTTAGTTATTGGTGTGACTCAAGTTTCCAATAAATTGCAGTTTCTATCGAAATTTTCGCGTTTTTAAAATCGTTGCGACGCTTGCGATGCGCTTCTTGCGATAATTACGATTTAATGGAAACCAAGCTTAAAAATAATTCAATTAGTTCCGCTACAGCAGAAAGAAATTTTAGCGTTATGTGCCGTATCAAGTCGTGGCTCAGATCTACATTCTACAATGCCCAAGAACAGCCTAAATAATAAAATGTTCGCTGCTATTCACAAGGGACGTATTGGCGGAGTACATAGCAAAAGCTAAAGTGTTTGTAACCTGGTTTGTAACGTTAAACAAACAAAGGTGGCGTTATGGAAAATTTTAAACTCTAAATTAGTAGCAATAGACAGTTGATGACGGTAGATGACGTTAGGTGACACCAGATGACAGTAGATGACGGTAGATGACAGTAGATGACACTAGATAACGGTAGATGACGGTAGATGACACTAGATGACGGTAGATAACCAGTGGTGCCTAAATTACTTTGAATTTGTACTCGAGTAAAAGTAGAAGTAATTAACAATAAAACGACTTGAGTAAGAGTAAAGAGTACTGGAAGCAAAACGTACTTAAGTAAAAAGTACAAAGTATCCTTAAAAAATACTTGAAGTACAAAGTAAAAGTAAAAGTACAATTGTCTGTAGTGTGTAGAGAGGGAGGGGAACTTCTCCAATGGATTAACATACCAACAATCAACAACAGATCAAACAACACATGCATTATATGCGTGCACAGAATATACAAT